CTAATTAGCTGCACGGCTTTCATTTCCTGCACTCCGCTGGCGTTTCTTTAATCCGAGTTTCCTTCAGTTCGCCTTTCAAGACACCCCCCACCTGTGCGGCTGGTATTTATGACCCCATGCACAAACCGCGAGACAGACTCCAGTGGGACACCTAGGGCAGCAGCTCAGCAAAACAAAGAGCTGGGGAAAAACAAAGAGGTTGCACAGGACCGAGTACACGGCGATTCCTGCTGATTAAAATCAAAGTGGAGAGATACAGTACAGATTCGCACCCTCGGGGCATAAAGCACGCAGGGTTCAGGTTAAAAAACAAATCATATTAAAATGCAAAATATCATTCCTACAAGAGCAAAAACTTTTAACCACTTATCCAAGAAGAGAAGCATTCACACAATCAACACTTAGTGGTGTTGCGTTTAGTAAAAGTTTTCTGCATTTGCAGATCTGGATAAAGTGTTGTCGTCCGTGCCACGGGATACTCTTCTGTTCGGCTATTCTAGCACGGCCAAGTTCCCTCAGGCAGGTGGGCACTGCCATTACACTGCAGCTGGGTTCAGGTCAGGTCACTACCAACCTTGAGCCACAGTCCCGTTTCTCTTCTTCGGAATGACCTGACCCAGCTGCACTCGGCACCAAGTCACCATGCTCTACCGCGAAGCACCTCCCGATGAGTCTGTAGCTATTACGCATCCTTTCCTTCAGCGATATCCCATAGTAATTTGCTGCATTTAGCTTTCCTTTAATCACGCTGAGGTTTCCACTCACTGCCCATTTAAATTAGGCGCAACCACAGACTGGCATGCCATCCTGCTTCAGGACAGATGCTCTGAACTCACAAGCCCCTCCTTTTTGGTCTTTTTTTAGGCATTTTAGCTGATGCTTCGGAAGCAGTTTGCTGTGGGACTCATCAGACCACAGGGTGCTTTCGTGGCAATAAGCAGAAAGCACATCCGCATACACACTTAATGTGCTTAGCTTTGTGCAGTTTCTAAAAGGCTTATACCTTAGTCCCAAAACAGACAAATGCGATTCTGCTATACTCTTGGAAAACTGATACTCCGTATTCTTACACATTATTAAGTAGTCCTTGTCCACCGGTCTAGGGTTTTAAATTACCTCTCTAATGGTTAGTCTTCCTGCTAAGATTTTTCACACTGTCTCCCATACCTAGACGTTTTTTGTGCTCCGGCCCTATATTTCACTTCTTGACAACGGACTACATTTTATTTTTTGGAATATCAGATATATCTGCCTCCATCACATTACTTTGTCCCTTTGCAGTAGGTCACTTTGTTAAATCTAAAATAGTCTGACCCACTATCAAAGTAATTAGCACACCCCCCCATCACTTCTAAGGGAAAACCAAATAAAAATCTGTGTCAACTAATCTTATGACAATAATTACTGCCCTGCCGCATAAACAAATTAACAACGGTAAACCACGCATGAAAACATCTGTCCACCCATGAGTGTTTTTGTTATTTGTCATAGCGATATTATTGTAATTCTGATTATTATCATTATAATACATCTGGGATTATGAACTTCATGATCCTCTGTTTCCCTCATTTTGCATAGTTTGTATTAAAGGCGCTGGTCTTTAATTTTTAACCTTTGACTCATGTAAATCATGACTAATTGTGCCTGGAGAACATGAGCAGTCTAGTCATGTCAGGTCGGCAAACAGAACAAAAACATACATTTGTTTGTGTTCAGCTTTGAAAGCAATAGATCAAAAGAGGACCACTGCTGAACTATGACTTCAGCCTTCAAATGAGATGGATAAGCACAATACCTCCAGTCCAGAAAGCTCCCTTAACAGCTTCACAAGCTGTCAAGACCATACATAACTGCATAGTTAAAACTATGATCAGGTGAGCTTTTGAAAATAAACATTGAAGCCACAAAAAAGGTTTTTGAGTCAAACTGAACCTTCTGGGTACATACCAAGAGTCAAGACAGAATAAAAGGTCCTGTGATCTGCCTCCATGTCCACCATGAGCTTTTTCCTACTTCATCACCACAGACAAACTACAAATCTGCAAATCAAGTTTCAAGTATAATTCTCCATTACTCACAAGACAAAATGTTTTCACTGCTGGTTTGGTGGGGGGACAGAAATAAAATGTTATCAATTGACTTTCCTTTCATATGACTGTGTCTCTGCTATCAGGAGGAACACGGTCACATTTTCCTGAGATTTTTAAAGAATTTACTAGAACATCCCGTGAAGGGGAGGCCTAGTGGCACAGAGGTTCTCATTGCTGCCTCGCAGGACTGGGGCCCTGGGTTCAATTCTGGACTCTGGGTGCCCTTGTGTGGGAAAACCCCATGTTCAAGTGGGTTTCCTTCCAAAGTACAAAGACATGCTGGCAGGTTCATTGGCTTCAGTGAAAACTGGCCCTGGTGTGAGTGCGTGCTTGTCTATGGGTTAACCCCAACTCTAAACCTAGACCTACCCAGGGAGTACCCCGCCTTGAGCCCCTTAGATAGGCTCTTCTTCCCCCCCATGAATCTGAATTGCATGAAGGGGTTGGAAAAAGGATGGAAACAGAAATGGATTTTATGGACGTCCCATGAAAATGACGATCGACCTGACACGGACATGGGGAAAGATAAGGTTTCTAAAGCAAACTTTCACATTTCACAATTCTCCAGGATTCCTCGCAGGAATTCTCAACTAGATGATAACTTCAAGGGAAATTTACTAAGATACTTGCAGTTCTATACCTAGACAATCTAGATCAATTATGCAATAGTATCACGGAACCACCTTACAACAGTACTGGATGAATCATGTACAGAGATGTCAGGAATAATTAAAATATTTGAGTCAAGACAATCTCTCTCAGTTGCTGGAGAGCAGGGGGTGGCATGGGGATGTGTGGAGGGTGCAATATAGCACACATGGTCTCGACACCTTCACGGGTGTATGGAGGCTCTGTGTCCTGGAGAACCAAACTCACAGGCCAAGTTCTCCATTCTTCCAAGTTCTCAAACGTCATTTGAAGACTTTGGGTGGAGCACATCGAACAGATCTCACAGCCATTACATGAGGTCCCAGAACAGTGACAATGTGAGAGTCTCAAATGCAACGCAAGGCACCGAGTATCTGAGGACAATATTATTCAGTAAAGGTGGCACACAAAAACATGGACTATTATGTCCCCAGAAGCAGAGCAATGGATTCCCATTTCTTTTGGACGCAGTATTAAATAATGAAAGGAGAACTTGAGTGCCATTGTTTTCAGTTTCTGTATCCAAACCAGAAGACAGCTTCATATTTTGTCTATGTGCAAGCTATTCCACAAAGCCACTCAATGTAGCTCCACCACGTGCTTCACTAGGGTGACAAAGAGATCAGTGCATTTTTGTACAGACCTGAAGAAAACTCAAGATTGGTCATATCTTGAGTACCTCCTTTAGTATGTCCTTACTGAACAGGGACAAATACAATGAACACAAAATATTGCCTCCAACCGTGGTGAATTTCTTCACTTCCTGCTCTAGTGGCTTGAAATAAGGTCCTTTACCAGGATGAACACTCTTGAAGGAAAAAAGAAACATTAATTTGAAACCTCGTTACCCAAAGGGCCCCTTTAGTTATTTATCCAGAAGAAATATTTCACGTTTGAATGAGGATCAACACATTGGACCATGACTGTGAAAAATAAACCAAAAATATAACAACTTCACAGTCTCCTTTACCAGCAGGAGTTTGGTGAACCAGACCTTCTTTTTCACTTTCAGAAAATGCCCACAAGCATCATCAGGTTTTGTATCCGACCCAGTTTACTGCAACAGTGTCTCAACATCTTGGCATCACACTAATAGTCATTTAATGTTTATTTTCAGAAGGATTTGTCTTCTTCCAGAACCAATCACAACCACAAAACACGACACACCATTGTATTTTATTATATCCTTTTAAGAAAAAAAATAATGCAGTGCTCTAACAAGGCATAAAATGCCTTGTACAAGTCACATTTCATTTAATGTATCTGCACTCAAAACCACATGCTGTACACTAGTTTTAAATACTTCTAATCCAAGCAGGATCATACCATAATATAAAGCAACTATAAATTTGAATCAGGTCAAACACGACCATAACTACTCTCCTTTCCCGGAAATAATGTAATAAAAACCCTTGCCTTCTCTTTACAGATGTTTGATGATAAAGCAGTATCCAAATTAGGCGTTGATCGGCCCTTACATTGTTAGACACATGCAGATTGTTACAATAAACAAAGTGTTTTCTGTCAAGTGCCGTCATTAATCAGTTGCACGCGCCAGGAACCCTTTTCATAGGCAAACGTGTGCAAAATAATCACACGTGGATTGCGTAACGCAATAATATTAAATATTAAAATACAGTTCCTTTGCCATAGGAGACTGCACATTGATATAGCAAATTACCGGACCCGCCAACTCCAAATTGGTTCAAAGCAAAACGTTTGCTATTAGGAGTATGTACAAACCTACATGCATAATACGTAATTGTCACCTTTGCACGGTTTAGTAAACACACAAAAAATAAAATTATAGAAAAGTCAAATAATTATTCATCTCAATGCAACAGAAATGGATAAATCACCACAAAACGTTACAAATGTAGGATATAAATATTATGGTCTAGTCCCCAGACCTTTTAATCAGCCTCTGTCCTAGACCAGTTCACCTACATAGTCCACTCTGTATGTGAAACCAGCCCCATCAGTGTGAGTGCGCATTTATTCGTGTTGGGCAGAGAAAAGACCATGATTAGATAACAAGATGTTCCATATGAGAGAATAACGTTAATTTGCTAAAAAAAAGATACGGTCACCCCACCAACCCGCTGCAGTAATACGCCTCTTGCAAAGAAGCCTGATACATTCAAAAAGATTAAGCTTTGGCTGCTTGACGAACTACCAACAGTATTTCAGCGATGCCCCACCAATATGAACTTGATCTATATTAGAACTTCGCATAGCGCATATCATTTTGTTAGGACTTACCCATATCGGCTGGTGAAATGCACGATAGTCCCAGACACTATTAGGATGCGGATGATGCCGAAGACTTGGACGACTGAGTAAAATAAATGTTTTATTTTTTTTTTAATCTGGAGATGACCGTGCCGGGATTTTTAGTCACATAGACATCCGGGCAAGGCCCACCTTAAACCCGCACCGCGGCGTCCCCAGTAAGCAAAGCAGTGCACTTCACAGTCCCGCACACCAGCGGAAATCGCTGCTGCTTTACACGCACAGACACGGGGACCCCGCAAAGTTAATGGACTCGGGTTATGCAATTCTGCCAGGGGAAACTGATCTTCGTAAACACTGAAATGACATCAATCCTCCCATCTAATTATTTACTTCCTTCTACTCTAGCCGGGTTGCAGCTTAGAGAGCACCGACTCCAACACAGGGTGAGAGCCCGCCCCTCGCGTTGCTCTTGATTGGCCACTTGGCTGCACGGCAGGGAGTTGCTCCGCTGTTGATTGGACAAAGGCGGCGTCATCCGCCTGGGCCACGCCCTGCTTCGCGGCTTGGGGTTATGAGTGCTTTGCACCGCTGAGGTCTTTGAAGTCTGCCTTGCAGGTAGTAGTTGAACTTCACTGACACATCACATGTCACTACTAGTGTCATATCTGGTCTTACAGCATAATTTTCATTGATTTCTGTTCACGCACCTATTTTTTTAGTTTTCGTTACAAATGCGATTTAAGGTTCTGCACAGGCTGGACGCATTTTTTTGTGCTTATGATTCGCAGAGAGTGGATCTAAATGCGGATCAAACAAAAACGATACTGCTTCATTTAGTTCACGGGCCCTCGCCAATAAATTCTAATTACGCAAGAATGCACCATGTCTGGCTTACCTGTAGTCATCTGGGAATACAGCACCATTATCTGAATTCACAGCACAATGCTTTTAGGTCACCCTGTTTGATAAACTGGGACAGCTGCTGAATACCATGTGCCAACATTTATTTTTTCTAAACTTTTATTTTTGTTCCAGAAGAAATATGTCCTTGTTATGTTGCTTTTCGTGGAGTAGAGTTCGTAGTGTTTTTTTTACAAGAGACCTATTTTTGAAAGTTCCAGATTTAATATCTTACCGTTCTCAAAAGGAAGTATAAAATGAAGCAAACGGACAGTTTTCAGCAGTGCTAACCATCTTTCGTATTTTTAGGATTCACTTAAATGACAGCATTGCCAAGATATACGGTATCACAAGTATATGAAGGAGAAATTGTTGCAGTGGTATTCCTGCTTTTCTTGATTTATGCAAGACTAACATTTGCGGTTGTAAAACGTTATTTTCACTATAGAAAAATGTGTTTTCCGTAGACAGCTACATTGTCTCCTTCGGGCAAATGGGAATAGCTCTCTCACTTTTTACAAACAGTTCGAAGAGGACTTTCAGCAGGATCTTTCCTGGGGAATTGGGAAACAGCAAACGCCTGTTGTGTGTCTCACCCCCTTTGTTACTTAACAATATGCCCCATAGAAAAGAGAAATAATTGCAAAAGATATCATAAACAGAAAAGAAAGGAGGACTAGCCAAATACAATTAAGTCAATATTTGACTTTAATACGAATTGAGGTTAGAATTATAGCATGTTATATTTAATTATGTTACTGTATATCAAAATTCACATATTATACTGTACCTGGCAATCTTTTCAGAATGTAATTGTGTACACTTGTTGCACTCTTATGATAGTTCAGAAAGAACAATTGCAACAAATCATAGATCTGATTAATGTAACATGTTTGAACTTCCATGTCATGCATCGTCTTTCAAATCCAAAGTTCTTGATATATTATTCGTGATTTTTATCAGTGACCTTGATACTTCAAGCTTTCCTTTCTAAAAAAAAAAAATCTGGTGGTATAAGGTCTGGTATTCATAGCTGTTGCTAGAATCTTGCCTGGTCCTCCAGCACCTTATAAGTTTGAAAAAGAATCAAGTAAACATCAATTCCATGCTGACAAATACAGTATAAAGGAGAACAACAACATTTGGGCTGCTGAGCCTTCTTCTGGTGTGCTCAGCAGCCTCAGCAGAAGGCCATTTTAGATGTGTGGACCATTCAGATTGATGAATGTATGTGAACTAGTCTCCTTCTGGGACTGACTAGAACATTTGGCATAGGGCTCAACATGTTGTACAGAAGGCCCAACAGCCAAAATGTTGTTTCTCTCCTTTCTATTCGTCAGCAAAGGTATAACCATAACGTTTTCCTTTGCAACCTTCTCACACTGGTATAGCTTCCCACTCCAACATTTCATTATTCTGTTGCCTAACCAAGTCCTGTTCAAATGATGTGCAACAAGACTCCAGACTGTAACATCTTGACGTTTTGCAGCAGAAAAATCACGGGGCTGCTCTCGGTACCCTGATAGAATTGGCTCCCTGAAAGGAAATTCAGGTGTTCCCTCAAGGGCAAAAATCAAAGTTCATGGTGGTGATGGGTCATGAATAGACTTCGAGGCAGAATGCAAAGCCCTAAACTCTACTGATGGCTGCACTGCCTCCATCCCACTCAGCCTGTAGGAAGTGGACATGCTAGGAGGGGAAAGCTTCCGTGCAGAGGGCCTCAGCAGAAATCCCGTCATAGATGGTTCAAGATGTGGCACCGGCTGCTTGTTTGAGTGGTGTTTTAGACCAACATCACTTCAGTAAGCAGTGCCCAACACTTGGACACACTCTTCTTTGTGTGTAAGGTGACAATGTGAGAGCAGTGTAGCGGAGCTAGTGCAGTGACATCAGCGCTCTTCCTGCGCGTAACAGGGACCTCAGCTGCCTGGGCTGAGGGAGGTCTCCTTTAGCTCACACGGTTGGTGCCCTGTTGCCTTACGCCGGAGACGCCAGAACCACGACGATCACACAGCACCAGTAGAAGAAAGGCATAAAGTAACTCTGGAGGCTATTTGTGCATCAGGGTACCCGGCCTTACAGAACTCCTGTAGAAAGAACCAAGGTGGCAGAAGAACAAACATATCATGTCAAACAAGGCCACAGTCATTCTTGTATAAAGACTCCAAATCATTTCTATTGCCTCCAGACGGAAGCACCGTCTCCATTCAGCCATCCTGTGGACAGGCGTTCCACCATGATGTTTTAGACACAGTCCCGTCACGCAAATATCCACCAAATCTCTCTGTCCCAGTGCTGTTGCATGATCTAACATTAAGATAACCTGTTGTGTTCACCTCCAACTTGGTTCAACTGAGAACTTGTCCGTCTTCAAGGTAGTTAAGCATTTATATTCCCAGCGCTCATGAATAAGGGCCGGGGCCACAGCCATTCACTTGGAAAGACTCCACGGAGCCAGCGACAGGACTCTTTTCACACTAGCACATGAGATAAGACAAGCCTCTCAAATACAGAGCTAAATAGATATCTGTTTAGCCACCCGAGATCAAGGATTTGACAAAGAGTTCCTTCATTCTTGCTTACCAACGAATGTCCCAGAATTATTGGGGCATCCCAATAACAGTGCCTCGTTTGCATTGTGAGTCAATTAAAGGGAAAAGTAGCTCTCTCACCACAATGGGGGCATCTAATGGTTGGTATCTTGATGGTCAGTACTCTGCTCGTACAATCGGTGCCAGAAGTACTGTAAATTGTTAGCACCATATTTGATAGCTGGTACTCGGCATCAGTGGTTGATTAAATGCAAAGACAGTCGGTCTTCTGCATCACTGAAGAGGACTATATCCACACCTAAGAGGAGAACATTACAACATAATCCCAAGTAAGTAGAGACCTACTGCAGCCAAAGGTGAAAAGCAGAGAAAAAATGAAGTTGAGGACAAGAATGAGGACAAGAGGTTATACCAACTCAAGAAAAGGTCAACACGTCAGCTCATTGTAAAATGCTTCTGCCATTGTTGGGAGCTAGGAATCCAAATCCAGAATAATCTTGCGTGTTTGAAAGGTTTTAGGAAGGTTGAACAGTCAGAGAGTTAAATTGGACTAAGTAATACAAATGAATGATTTGTTTGAGAAAAAATAAAAGATTGTTGTAAGAAGCCATATACAGTAGCAGGAACAAGTTTCCTTGGACATAAAATCATTAGTCACAGAACCAAGGTCAGAAAAGCTTTATCTGTTGTCCCGAGAGTCATCCTTTTTACCACTACATGATTAGTGTCTAAATCTCAGCAAAGCCAAAAGCATGCTGTCAAGAGAGCAACTGATGGTAATAAATCACTCCAAGCTCCCCTTCTCTCATAAGAAAGGAAAGGTTCTTCTGATGATAGCCTGGAACCAATACCAATGGACCAATATCAATTTTGTATATTCGGTGGAAAGGCACTAACATGGCACTGGCCCATGGGGTAGTGATGTCATTAACCTTGAAAGGAAACAACAAACTACAGAAAACACGTTTCACAGGATAGATCTGTAGGAAGTTACATTCCCTGAAAATCGGAAAATATAGCCACAAAAATGTTTTATTGTAGATGTCACATAACAAAATGTTGAAAGGATACTTTCAACAGACACATATAGCTTTTACTCAGACCAACTGAACTTTTGTTGTAGTTGAGAGCGATCGGTAACTCAAGGGAGTGCTATCGGTGGTACTGAATGTTTCTTGCAAGGTTTGTATGTTTGTAGTTAACAAAGAAATCCTGGCAGTGTCATTAGTTGTATGAAATTTAGGACATCTGATTTTTGAGATTCGCTATATTCCTGATATAAATATCCTGACAGAAAAACAGTAACTGCAGCACTCTTGTGTTCACATTTGCAATGCAGGAAAGTTGAAGTAAGGTGTAAAATGTGGAAACTCTACATTTCTTAACTCGAGTGCTACAGTTGTCAGCACCGAGAAGTTGCAGAATCCCTCTGGTGGATAAAAGAAGCATGAAAACCTTTCACATGCATACCTGTTCACCAACAGTTCTGTTTTCACCAAAAAAGCTCTTTTCACCACAGTTGTGCAAAAGTTCAGTTTCTTTAGAAAACTTACTTCAGTCAACATGACATTAAGAGCAATTGAACATAATTCTTGTCAACTGTACTGCTACATATACTGTAGTTTTTTCCACAGTTAGTATTTGGTCACGTACTGTACTGTACAGCTCCGAATGATTGAAAAACACCATGGAAAATGGAAATATAGCTTATTTTGTCCTTAATGGTATACATTTCTTCCATTTCCAGAAATTCAAAACTAATATTTTTATGGTTTGCAGGATTGACCCACACTCATTATATATGGTTACAACTATAACTTGAATCGAGAGCTCATGGAAATGAAAAGAAACCAAATCTGTTCATTTTGCATTATAAAAAATGCAAATTCTATGCTGACTTTTGTACTGTCGATAAAAATTCAATACACATGTGGGAAAATAAATCTGCCTTACTGTGAGATTTAGAGAGAACAGAAACCTATGATAATCTCTTTTAAGGCATTTGTAGACT